GCCAGCCCAGTCCCCTCTGGATCAAGCTGCCTCTGAGAGCTGTACAGAAGTAGATTTGATCTTGATGATCAACGCATGGGGTTTTTTGCTATTTAAATACTCCATAAATTTTGGCCACCCAGTATTTGCTTTTAAAAAAAAGCTGATTACGTTTGGACCAGGTAGATCTTACTACCTGGTACACCTCCCACAAACTCCCATTTTGCCAAAGAGACAATCTGTTGGAAATTCGGGATAAAAGTCTAGAGTTTCAGGAGGTAGGTGTCCAATTCCAGACAAAGCAATCAGCATTCAATACATAATTCACAGCAGGGACAAAAAATCCTGAGCTTTCGTATGCTACGATTTCCAGTATTTCATTTTCACAGCCTCTGCTGGAAGCCCTCTCTCCAGAGTCACAAAGTTTTCTTGTTTTGAAAAAAATGCAAACATTTATTTTATGGGCTGAAATTTGGCATGTTTTTTTCTTAAGGCCTTGCTGCTTTCATCTCTTAAGCAAGGATTTAAGCATAACAGGTAAAAATTAGGGAAAATACCCTTCAATAGAGGAGCCAGATGACCACAGCATTCACCAGGCCCCCTAGACAGGGTTCACCCAATTTAGGCATAGCCCCTGCTCCCATCCATGGAAGCTATGCACCTAAATGTCTTGTCTATACAACCTCCTTTTACTAATGAAAAGCATAGCGGGTTCTCTGCCTCTGAACTTTCCAACGGGTTACTGCAATTTAGAAGGTGTGATATGTAAACAGAAAACACACTGCAGCTACACAAGAGGAGCTCTGTACTTTACTCATCACACTAGCATTTCTAAACTTTACCGAACAGGAGGAAAATATTAATTAGCTTTTTTAATAATGCATCTGCAGTTCTTCAAACAATACCTGAGGCACGTTCATCTATTAACATGCCACTGCAGTCATGGTCATTTTGAGATCATGTTGGTCTCCTCCATTTCAATTCACTGCACCAGAAGGCTGGAACTGGCCGTGCTGGTGAAGGTCACGCAGAAACCTCTCAAGCTGAGGTGATGTTTGGTCCTTTCTAAAACTCCAGCTCCAGCTGAATTCTTGACATATGGTCTCTCCTACACCACCTCACATGACAGAAAGCATCCTTAGATACTGCTGTGTTGCAGCTAAAGACCATGATTTAGTCTTGTAATTTTCTGCTCTTTTTGGTATGCGCAATTTTGAAAGAAAAAAACCTAGCATTTTAATCACTTTTGACTGCTTCTGTGACTCTGTCAGAGAGATTTTCACTTGCAAATCATGGGCTTAGCCCGGGGCTGAGGTGATGGTGTTCAAAAGCTGCTTCTCACCCACATGCTGCTGACGGCCAATATGAAGTAAACTATCAATGCCCAGAAAACCTCTGCTGCAGGTGACTCTCTCAACAACTGCCTCAAGACAGAGACAAGAACTAACCAGAAACGAAGCCTGAGAGAATCTGTCACTTTGAGGTTCGGCAACATCGGGGTTGACTCACACTGGGGTACCAGACTCGCAGAAGGACCTCCTCCCACCAAACCTGCTGCTATGGGGGCGGAAAGATCTTTTCTGCTCCGTAAAGGATCTATGTTGAGAAAATGCTTTTCAAACTCATCACTTCAGAGAGGGCAACGCAGCTCTGCAGGACAACAGCATCCTACCACCTCTGCCCAAGGCATAGGAAGCAGCCAGCAGGACCTGGGTGACTCCTCTACCTTCACTTTCCAGCTCAGCTGCCTTGAATTAGGCAGGACCACTGGGTACAAGGAGGGTGCTGCTGACCGTGGCTGTCAAAACTCTCTCCCTGCCCTCTATTAATGGTGGACATTTTTAGCTCATGGCAACATCCTTGACACCTGCCTGGCACACAAAAAATGTTACCAGAGTGATGCCCAGGTAAGCAATGCAGGGATGGTGCAGAGATTTATACTCATCCATGTCCTCAACAGCAGGTCTGCTTGGCCAAGGGGAATTGTCCGGGGCTGACATTGGCCCACCCATTCTGACAAGTACCATGGACTTTCCAAACCTACTGCGGAGGGTACAAATTCCTCTGCTTCAGGGGCACCTCCCAGGGCAGTGTGTCTCACTGCAATCCTGAATCTCGTACCAAGGATCAAAAGAGCTTCCCTCTGTGTGAATTTAGGGTATGTTAAATAAACTGCTTGTCATTATCCCGCTATCACTCCTACTCCAGTGAGAGAGGACTATTTTATAGTTTAGTTTATGTTGCTTTAAAATGATTTTGAAGATAAAATAAAAAAGAAACGTAACAACAAAACTCCTCTTATTCCAGAACAGGAGTATTCCCAAGGGCAAGGTATACCTGTAAAATTATTATAATGCTTTAACCGCATAAGCACAACTGGAAGCGTCTTCTCTGAAAACAAGTTGTAACTCTATTTTCCTATCTGCAGCCATTATCCTGATAAATTTGGGAAGGTCAGCTAAGGTGTAATCCAATAAACGTGCTGATGTTCTGAATAAGTACCTCACAATTTGCAGCCTAATCTATTATCCTACTGTAAGACCATCAAATGACTCACCAGTTTTAATACTTAGTACAGATCAAACAAAGGAAAATATCAAAGCTTTACATTCTGGTTCCACCTTTCAAGGACTTGTTTCAGTACTCTTTAATTACAGCAGATGATACATTCAACTCTGGCATTTCCTTTTTCTAACAGCTATAGTTAGAAGTTGCTATAGCTGTACTTTTCACGGGACATCATTACGTTAACCAATAAATCCTCAAAAGTCTGATAAACTGAACAAAGAAAGTTAGGATTTGGTCCCGGAGATGAAATTCAGCTCCTTCTGCCCACTGGATCGCACACAGTTACTGTAATACACCAGAGAGCAGCAGCATCCCATCGCTCCTGGGTGCAGGGGACAAGTCTTCAGCGGCCCCACCTGAACTGTGGGCAAAAAGCCACAGGAACGAGCATGTGCACCGAGCAGCACACGTTGTCTTGGAAGTTGATGAACTGAAGTCAGACCAAGTCCAAAACTTGGGCTATGCCTTCCAATCCTCCAGAAACTCAAATACATCTGCAGAACTTTGCATTTGACCACTGTGATTTATTTATTTATTTATTTATTGATTTATTTATTGATTTATTTATTGATTTATTTATTGATTTATTTATTGATTTATTTATTGATTTATTTATTGATTTATTTATTGATTTATTTATTGATTTATTTATTGATTTATTTATTGATTTATTTATTGATTTATTTATTGATTTATTTATTGATTTATTTATTGATTTATTTATTGATTTATTTATTGATTTATTTATTGATTTATTTATTGATTCATTTACTGCTCTAGGTACAAAATAAAAGTGAAAAACCAATCTATTCAGAGAATGCCAGATCCCAAGGGAAGAAGTATCAGGAGACAGTCAGCAGTACCATCAGCAAACTGCAAATGCTCAGCGAGGTGGTTACAGAAGTTACATGTCTCTACAAAGATGCTGGAGCTGACTGCAGGCATTGCCAAAGAAAATGGTGAGCACAAATCTCTTCCAGTTAACTCTCACGGTGTTTTGACACTAAAGCATTTCCCAGTAACATTGTGCATTCGTATGTTTGGCCCATGCAAACAAAATGAACACGGGTTATTCGGCACAGTGCCTGAGCGCTATCACTGTTAAAACTTGTCTCTTCTATCGCAACAACAAAAACCCACTGGGAAAAGGACTGAATTGCATCTGGTTTACGTTGTTGCTCTTTTTGACTGACTGACCCAAATCAGACTGTTTTTCAAGGCCAAGTCTGTAAGTTTATGCAATAACTGTGTACATGCTGCTAGAATGAAAAAAGAATTTATCGTGAGGTCCCTGCAGAAGGGACGGAAACCACACAGGCCACCACACCAGAGCCTCTGCATGCAGATGGACGCTTTCAAAAGTGCATAAATCTGATTTAACTCTGCTTTTGCTAAGCTCACATTCTTAAGAACAAATCTAAATGAACTCTGATCACTACTTTAGTTCTGCTCCAAAGGTATCGGTTCTCAATTACTTAAAACAAATATAACAATGAAAAGAACCAAAAAAGCCACAAACTAAAGAGATGGCCTATATGGATAATGGGTGTGCACTGCATCAGCCAACTTTCCCTTTGGTTCTTTTGACTTTTGGGGTTTTATTTAGGGCTGACACTGGTAAGACAAACACAACATATACATACAGCCGCATACATGCCTATAGACCTGTATATGTATAAGCAATGAGACTAGTCATGAGATTAGGAAGTGAAGGCGCTGCACAACTGGGCACACACACATCTGGGATGATTTTAGAGATCTCAAGAATTGCCCTTTTTCAAGTACCACTGGGGCACTTCCTCTGATAAATAGATGACAGCTTACCAGGACTTAAATAGCTCCACTCAAGCACTACCTAGATGAGTGTCAAAAATTAGCTGAGTTGCTGTCACCCCTGCAGTCCTCGTCTAGACACAGCAGAGTAAGCACAATTCCAGTCTGCCTTGCTGGGCTACAGCCACCCTGACAGCTGAGCTATGATCCAAGCCACTTCATCGCCACTGATTAGACGACAAAAACAAAAGAAAACAACTTGAGACGCGGATATCTGGATCCTTCTGGCTGCGTGACAGATAAAAGTTAACAAAACAGAAAAGCAACAAAAAACACAAGCGTAAAAGTACTTGTGAACTGAGCAGGTTTTAATTCACAAGCTATTGTTGGTGGAAAGTCAGGGCGAATGAAATGCCATTTTTTGCAAGTATTTTTCTAACAATCTCCGTGGGAATCTAACAATCGGGATCAGAGGCCCTTCGCTCAGAGGTATGGCAGCTTTTGAGCCAGTGCCCCCTTCAGAGCGGCTGCGCCCTTCTCCCCATTGACAGCCACATCTGGATGCTATCAGGAGGAACTGGCATGCCTGCTCACAACAAATACCAAGCGGTTAGCAAATTGACTCCAGCAGTCAATGCTGGCCACTTTCCCACTCTCTGTTTACGCAATGCGCCACTAACCTGTTGAGATCGAGGTTTGTAAGGAGAGCTGCTCTCTAGGTCGGCCAGGATGCTGGTCAGAGAGTCGATTTCTGCATCTAAACTGGACCGCCTCTCCTCAAGCGTCTTGCCACCAGGGTTCACCTTAAAGAAGAAAGAAGAGTTCCAGTTATTCCAACCACTTGGCCTGGCACATGGTTTCTTACTGTCCTCATGGAGCTGCTACCGTGCCTCGGCAATATCTCTCGGGTTGCAGGGTCAGAGATGCTGAAATGCTATAGCCCTCTCCAAGAACCAGCAGCAAGCCTCCATCTCACAAGGATTCAAGCTGCTTTAGGGCTTTTCTTCATGGATTTCCCACAATGGTCCCATTGTCTAAAGTTGACTTGGAGAATTATGCAACTCAGCATGCAATCTGTTACCGAGGTGAGGAGGCAGGACAATCCCTGCTCCCGCAGATAGATAAGATGTATTTTAACTGGACGCCCGGCTGGGCAGCCAGGCTGGGGTAGCCTTGGAGCACCTCCATTCTGAGAGCATCTCTTCTGCCACATCCCCATTCCAGATGAAGCACAGAGCAGAGCTGCAAGCCACAGTGGCCAGCGACCGGCCACCTGCACCTGTTATTATTTTAAAAATCAATCCATGGTAGCTGTACCTGTCTGAGTCAACACTTCTTCACAATTTCCATCTAAAAAATGAGCTCCTTCAAGGAGGCATGAAAAAGTTCAATTAATTTCTAGCAGATTCAAGGTGAAGGGCATGATTTGCAATAAGCGGTCACAAAATAACATAAATGAGGTCCTTGTGAAAAGGGCTATTACACAGGAAAGCCCATGCCCAGAGCAAATACCAACCTACAGCCAGGATCCTTTCTGATTCAATACATTGTGCTTTCTCTCTGCTTTCAAAACAGCCCAGCCCCACTTGTACCCCGGCTGATAGGGACACTCACTTGGAAGGGAAGAGACATGAATTTTCACCACCACCACCCACCTCTGAAAGTAAAACCCAGGTCTCAGCACCACAGGAGAGTATGTGATCCCCAAGCTATTGTTCAAGGGTTGCACTGCAATCCCTGCTAGAATAAGCATTTTAAAAGAGGACTCGTTCATACCCTTTGTTTTTGAAAAATCAACCTAGTCCAAAACCTCTGGGAAAGATCTGTGCTGTACAGCCCAACCCAACAGCAGTACCTCCCAGCAGCGCACGAAGGTGGGTACAAGCTAGGAAACATCTCCCTCCTCAACGTTTTCAGTGTTCTGGAAATTAGGCTCTGGCAGGAATGAGAAGTTGAAGAAAACCAACTAAGGATCCCCTTCAGGTGTGATGTAGGTGCCAGGAGCCTACCCAACTTAGCCAGCCACATTTAGGGCATGCGCAGAAAACAAAGTTCTTGAGTCAAGTGAAATATTACGCATTGAAAGTCTTTTCTCAACCTGAGTCACAGGCAGTATTTTCGTTCTGTCCTTCCATGTCTGACTTATCTGCAAATTCTCCAGACGGAGTCTCTCCACACACATGCAACTACAGAGCTCAGTGCAGAAGAGCTCACTCGCAGCCTGACTACTACAACAATAAAAATACTAAAGAATTACCTAACAACTCACCTAATTTCAACTGTAAAGCCTGTTCAGACCATACCAGCACCTCCCCACAGACAGTCCAGCTCTGTTTGCCTTCAGTCTCACCAAGTTACTTCAATTTTCCAAGCCAAAAATTCGCTTTTCCCTTTGGCTCACTGTTTGCTCCAGATAGTTTTTATTTAAATTTCATTTCAGGAGCACTTGATCATTACCTGTTTTATAGAACAGTTATCAATCCGACACATAAATGGCAAGTTGGTCAAAGAGAGACAGACTATGCAAAGCAGGAGGCTCTGATCTGCCAAGCTTATCCGTGCTAAGGCATTCATTAGTTCCTAATGATTATTAAATCTTATTGGATTACAATAAATTTGGCTTGACTAACAAGAAAATGGAAGCTCCAGTGTGCTTTATGCAAGAACACGTCATTTAAAAGGCTGAGAGTCAGGTTAGAAACTACGTACAAACTCAATTCTTCTTGCCTATTTTTATTATACAGCCAAAGTTTTTCCATCCAAACAACTGTTCAAAAAAAGAAATACTTTTCACAGGAATTACCCCAGACCGTTACTCCTGGCTAGCTGTAGGCACCTGGATTTTTCAATCTGCAAAAGTCCAATTTCCTTTCCACTATTAGTGCACTTCATGGCTCTTGTTTGGTTTTTCTCCATCCTCCAGTTGTTGGCCTGTAACTACAGGGCAGCCACAGGCTTCCCAGACACAAAAACTGTGATTGCTCCACTCCGGAGAATTTTTAAGCTAAGCAGCCAAAAGCCAGCCTGGAAAGGGGGGGAGATGCGAAGGGCACCCAAGGCCCCAACACTTGAGGTGATAAATCAAGTCAATGGCAGACCCAGGAATAAAACTGGAGCCCACGCACGGCCCGTTTGGCACCCTGACCCTGGAGAGGAGGGATGGTGGCAGATGAGAAGATCAGCCGATTTCATTTCTGCTTCTTAGCATTTCTGGGCCATGTTATTCCCAGGTTCTCATTCCCCAGAACAATTACGCAATAGCTGACTAGCAAATGCTGCAGAACAAGTTGTAAGGTTGTAAAAATTAAATGTCCTTAGGAAACCTAGGGGAAAAAAAAAGCATGGAAACATCTCTATTGATTTTGGGCTCTGTAAAAGATTTATTTATTCAATTAAAACATAATCAACATAGATTAAGAGCCCAATTCTACAAATGCTGGAGCACAATTCAGTACGACAGTGCCAATGAATAATGCTACCGATGTGTGTAAGGGCCTATTAGGACAGGACTGGACTTTAAGTACATTTAAGAAACAGTAAGCCTCACAAAGACAGGTTTCTGCTTGCTCTCTCTTCCCCATCTCCACGAATCTTGCATTTTTCTCCCCACAGAGCTCCAGATTCAACCAAGGGATTTGCTGCATGTGGAAACAGGAGAAGAATTTGCAGTGCTAACTTTAGCAAGAAAGGGTTAAGTTATTTCTCTTCTCATGCTTTTCATCATGACGTTGCTATAAAAGTTTTATGATATGCTCTGGAACAAAACCCAAGTGCCAGGTCCCAAGGCACAACAGGTTCGCTCAGTCACAGCTCTGTTCCGACTGGTTAAGCTCACTACCTCGCAGATACAAACACCGGAACCAGAAAGAACTGCTAATTCTATTTCTGTCTGGATTTATGGCATTGTTGCAGACATGACGCTTGCACGCCCTCCCTTTCAGCCAGCAGAATATGGAAAAACGGGTTTAAAAAGAAAAAGGATGCTATCTTTGGCCCAGCCAACGTGAATTCAACAAAAAGCAAACATAAGCCAACTCAGTCCAACAAATTACTCATGCCAGAGACTATCCACTCACGTGAACTTCTGCAATGCCTACACTCCTGTCCCCTGGCTCAGTCCCTGCTGCGAGGCAAAAGAGACAAAAACAGCAGAGAGCTTCACTGCTTGGCTTGTTTGTCCGCCTCTGAATTCCTGGTGTGCAGTTCAGAGCAGCTGTGATGGTAATCCACTCCTGAGCCCCGTCAACCCACGCTGTTCCAATGAAAACTGGCTTTAATTTTGCTAATCCTACCACCCAACACCAGTCAGTGCCACAGGTCACCCCGCACCACCCCAAGGGACATTCATTACAGAACATGCAGTGCAGAGGGCAACGCAGGGCCTCAACGTTCGCCTCACGGTGCTAAAAAGGCCGTAAGACTATTCACCAAGCTAGAAGACATGAAAAGCACAATGATTTCCCTAGATGCCACCTTTTCCTACAACCTAGATCACCTATTCATCACATTTTGCAGGTTACAGCAGAGAAACAAGAACGCTTCCTCGTTTGTCCAAGCCAGCTCCTTGCAATGGACTCAAAGAGAAGAATCTGGCTCCCAGATGTCCTTCCTAGCTCCTGCTCCAAATTCCTTTCCCTACCCAGACCCAGCCGCCTCTTTTATTCTCTGTTTTCCCCCCTCTCCATGCCCTGTTTGCTGCCACGCAGTGCTGCAGCCTGGGACAGTCGTTAGGCCCTGGGACGAGACATGCAATGTGGTCTGGGCTGCCAGGTTGGCTTCTGAGCTGCTACGGGAAATCATGTTGATGCCCAGTGGTGTTACTATGTCAGGGAAAGATGGAGGGTGGCTTTGCAGTGGCAACCTGCTGACTTACATGGACAGCGGGTTAGAAGTGACTCCAGAGTCCCAGGGTATGTTTTCTTCCAAAACAAGGCAACAGCCAAACTCCTGAACACTTTCAGAGCATCAGAACTTTGCTCACCACAGTGCAATTTTCCAGCATCAAGATCCACCTTCTCCCCATCCAGCTTAGCCTTGCTTAAGTCTTCTCTAAAGTAGGTTGAGCCGAGTGTGTTTCATGAGTGTTGTGGCCAGCTCATCCTCTGAACTGCGCCCCAGGAACGTGGGCTGTCGTTATCGGGAAATGCAATGCCATTATATATGTCCAGACACGTCCAAGACAGCAGAGCTACAGCTAGACACACAACCTTCCTCGTAGCATCAGCTCGCTCTGCATGCTGTGCTATCACAAGTCACTGATAATCTCATAACTCACAAGTGGAAGAATGGAGATGAACACCATGGATATTAAGAAAGGTCGTAGCTAATGACTCGAAACAAACGGGCAGGGGGCCCCCAGTGCCCTCTGCTCTTGGTACATTGGTTTTACCGGGAGCCTGAGGTGCTTGGGGAGCTCTCTTTGGGCTGCGACAGGTCAACACTGTTTGCATTTACACATCCAAGAACGGGGAAAAGCAGGGAGCAGAAAAGCCCTTTGCAGCAAAGGCAGTCATGGAAAGGAAGGACTAAAGCAACAAGGGGAGTGAGGAACAGGGGCATTTAGGCAAATCAGGGGTAGACAGTAAATAAAGACTTTTTCCCTGAAAGACTTTATTGTCTTTTCCTCCAGCAAATGCAACTGAGCCACAGATGAGGTGGCAGAGCTGATAAATTCAGTGACTGCTGCCTGCTTCCACCAGGTTGCACCCACAGCAGCCACCTTCCACACTCCGCAAGCTGTCGAAATCCTCGGGTAGGCACTGAGATGGTAGGAAGAGCAAATGAAACAGCTCTCCAAACAAGG